CGAGGAGACTGGGAAATAAAAAGATGAAAGACCAAGCAGGAAATTTGAGCAACAGGTATAAGCATCACCAGTCTCAAAAAAAAAAAAAGGCATTTTCTAATGCCTTACTGCTGCTCAGGTGCTTTCCCATGATTCTTGTGAAGGTAGGAACCCATAACCAAGCTTAGGTGACCTGGGGTTAGGTAAAAGATAAGTGAGACTACCTCATCGAAGTAGGGAAAGGTGAGAGAGAAGACGGTCAATTCCTGACAAATGGTGGGGAAAGAACCGTATAACATAAATACTTTTGATTGATTGATTGATGATGATGATGATGATAAAAATTAATATTTGAGTCTGGACCTGTGATTTCATTGTTATTGAATATCCCAGGGTGAGGAAATTCCCTCCACCAACAGATCTACAACTTACAGTCTTAGAGACGTACCCGAGAGAGTATGAAGTTCATTGAAGAGTGTGACAGCAGCTATTTCATCATGACTATTGGCCAGGATGTGGCCCTCATAGGTTCTATAGCCTAGTGGAAAGGATTAGCTTTTGTAAATAACAGGAGATGGGGAAACATGACTTGATCACTATAGTCCCTGAAAGGGTGGGGTGGGGTGGCATGGTGTGAGAGGGAGGAGGTTCAAAGTTTTAAATGTCCACGCAGCAAGTGAACCCTGGTTGCACACCATCTTGGCAGTTTGTGGGCAAACCTCTTTGACCATGAGTATGATTGCACCGCTGGCAGCTACTTCCTCTAGTTCCTTCCCTTTCCTCTCCCTATCGGTATTACCTCAGCCTTACCCTGGCTGAGGTTAAGTAGGGAAGATTTCATCACAGCTCCTTCTTACCCTCCACTCTCCCTCTCCTGGTTTAGGGGACAGCTGAGACATTGCAACTTGAGAGTTAATTTCTTGGGAGGCCAAAGGCTCAGAGGGGATGACAAGTTGTCTTTCTCTCCGGTCATCCTCCTGAGGTGGAGTGAGGATAGAACAGGATTCTCCAGGCTTTGCCTAGGAGGTATCCAGTACAAGAGGAAGAATCCATTGGACTTGAGACCTGCTGTGAGTTCTGTATTATGAGCCTGGGTCCTCAGCCCTGGGCCTCTCAGAAGATGCTTGTGTTTCTGGGTGACTGGAGTCATTCATTTTCCTGGCCGGAATCCTGTTCAACTGGGCACTCGCTCAGTCCAGGCCTGGGGCTGCTGGAGTCACATTCCTGGCTCCAAAGGTGAGAGAGTTGGCAAGCCTGTAGGGATTTGGCAACTTCTCAAGCAACCTTTGACCCTACCGTGTCCCAAGGCTAGCAAGACATGCTGTATTCTTTAGCAATAATTTTTGTTGGCAGCCAGTTGGCCACTTTTAGGTATGATACTGAGTTCAAGTTAAGAGCAGTAGGTTGGGAGAGTTTAGAGACAATCTTGATAGTGACAATCTTTTTTTCCCTTTTGTTGTGGTTCAGTTCCGTTCAGTCAGTCCTGTCTGACTCTTTGTGACCCCATTTGGGGTTTTCTTGGCAAAGATATTGGAATGGTTCGCCATTTCCTTCTCCAGCTCATTTTACAGGTGAGGAAACTGAGGCAAACAGGGTTAAGTGACCTGTCCAGGGTCACACAGCTAGGGGTCTGCCATTTCCTTCTCCAGCTCATTTTACAGATGAGGAAACTGAGGCAAACAAGGTTAAGTGATTTGCCTAGGGTCACACATCCACTAAGTGTCTGAAGCCGATTTGAACTCAGGAAGAGGAGTCAGTTCCTCACTCCAGGCCTGGCTCTCTGCCCAGTGCACCACCTCCATGCATTATGGATTCTAAAATTCTTCACTGCAGAACCCCATCTTCATGAAAAGATTAAAAAAAACTCCTTTGGTGATAGGGAACAAGGCTAATCTCCCTAAAGCTGGGGCTCTATTTTAATTTAATATACACTAAACATCTACCACGTGCCTGGCACTGTGCTAAGTGCCATGGATGAAAGACAAAAATGAAACAATTCCTCCCCTCAGGGATTTTAGCTTTCATAGGTAAATACACAATATATACAGTGTAATTGGGGAGGGAGGAAGGCTCTATCACCGGGAAGAGTTTTGGAGGTGGCATGTAAGAGGTTGTGCTTGAGCTGAATTTTGAAGGGAACAGAGGTGGAGGTAAGGACGGAGTGCATTCCTGGCTTGGGGAATGGCCATTGTTGAGGGCATGGTGATGGAATGTGGTGTATGAAGATCAAGTAGATCAGTTTGGCTGAAACCTGAAGTGTGAAGGAATAATGTACAACGAGCCTGGAAAAGTAAATTGGAGCCAGATTGTAAAAGGCTTTAAATGTCAAACAGAGGAATTTATATTTTATCCTACAGGCTATGGGAGCCACTGAAGCTTTTTGAACAAATTTATTTCCTAAAATGTGGTTTAGGGAGCCTGAAGGGATCAGGATCCTCTAACATAGAACTCCAGGGGAGGTAGGTACCAACTATGGAGGAAAGAGTTAGGGAGAAGAATGAAAAATGGGGGAGAAGACTGGGGGAAGGGAAGGGGACTGAAGGGGGACATTCAGAGGGAAAAGGAGCAGGATCTGAGAGGTGTTTGTGTACACCAAACAGGATGAAAAATGAGATTCTGGAAACATGGTCAAGTTAAGGCAGCACTCACAGGAGGCATGATGGGAGAGGCAAATTTAAAGAGGAGTTGTGAAATTTGAGCCCATGCCAAAAGGAGCCTTTCTTTAGGAAGCATCTGAAAATTGGTGACCTGGAAAATCTGCCCTGAGGGCTTGGGTTGGGTTAGGATGACAGCAGAAAACTTGGCTTCGTCTCCTATTGGGTTACCACCCTTTTTACGGACAGATGGTAATACCTAATTACCTTAGGTAATACCTAAGCTGCAGTTGCTGTCCCTTCTGCCTTGTGAGATGAGCCTTCGAAGCTTGGTCCCCATTGGCTTTGTTGGAGACTTAGACTTGACATGGAGGGCTTTCCTTCTTCTCAGACCCAGGGTCATTTGGTCTGGCAGCCTAAGGCACATCTCGTACACTGGTTTGTTAGAGATGTCTGCTAGGTGTAGATAAGGCTCAGTCTCAGCAGCAGTCTTGGGGAGGCAGGTGTCATGTTGCGACCCAGTGGACCTGTCTGGTTCTCTAGTCTGACTTGTGGCTGTTTGTGCTTTTCAAAAATATTTTATTTTTGTTGATGTCTTTTGTTTTTACACCATCCTCCTTTCCAAAAATTTCCTGTCACCTTCCCTTCCCTTGCAAGTCATACCTTATAACAAAGATTTACAAAGAGAAAAAAAAAATCCTCGTTCATCTAGTACAAGAAATACATCACACTTCTGTCCTTAACAAAAAACAAATAAAATGAGCATTTCTATACACATAATAGAAGAGAAAAAGATTGAAAATTTAACTGTACATCTTTGATATCTACAGCTTGCTTTTCTTTTTAAGTATATAATACATTCAATATGGCCTATAAGGTCCCTTCTAACTTTACATTTATAATCCTGTGATTAACCCTATATAACTTTCAAAGCTGTCCTGCTTACTTGTGATTCCTTCTGGCCGTCCTGCTGCTCTTTTCTGTGCATTAAAAATAAAATGCTTCAATGCACTTCTTTTGTTTGTTTTCATTTCCTTTCTTTGTGAGCAATCCTACCTCTAGCTCTCTCTCAGGTTTCTCTTCAATATTGAAGAGAAAAACAAAACCCTTGTAACAAATATGCATAGTCAAACAAGACAAATTCCCACATTGGCTATGTCCAAAACAGAGGTGTAATTTCATCACCTCTCTGGCAGGAGATGGGTCCCATCTTCATCATCAGTCCTCTGGAATCATTGTCAGTCACTGCATTGATCAGAGTTCTTAATTCTTTTAGAGTTGTTTTCCTTTATGACGTTATTATTGTGCAAATTGTCCTCCTGGCTCACTCATTTCACTCTTCAGTTCATACAAGTCTTCACAGGTTTCTTTGAAACTGTCCCTTGCACCATTTCTTCCAGAACAATAATGTATCGTAGTGGATGGGCTGCTAGGCTTGTAGTTAGGGAGATATGAGTTCAAATTTGGCCTCAGACACATTACTAGCTATGTGATTCTGGGCAAGTCAGTTGGCTTTTCTCAGCCTCAGTTTCCTTGTCTGTAAGATAGGGATGATAATGACACCTCCCTTACAGAGTTGTCATGAGAATCAAAAGAGATAACATGTATAAAGAACTTGTAAACCTTAGAGTACTGTATAAATACTAGCTATCATTATCATATTCTAATGTATCCATACACTATAATTTGTTCAGCCCTTCTCCAATGAATGGTGATCCTATTTGTTTCCAGTTCTGTGCCATGTGAAAAAAAGCTGCCATAAATATTTTAGTATGTATGAATCCTTTTCCTCTTTCTTTGATCGCTTCAGTGCAGAGAGCTAGCATTTCTATTTCTGAGTGGAAAGGTACATACACAGTTTATCAGCTTTGTTCCAAATTGGTTTTCAGAACAGCGGGACTCATAGCTCCACCCATCAATAATTTATTATGTGCCTATTTTCCTGAAGCCTCTCCAACGTTTGTCATTTTACTTTATTGACATCTTTGCCAATATGATAGGTGTGAAGTGGAACCTCTGAGTTATTTTCATTCGCATTTCCCTAATTATTGGTCATTTGGAGCGTTTTTTCATATGAGTCTTGAATTTCTTGGTTCTAGGATTTCTTCCTTAGAAAACTTTTTGTTTGTAACCTTTGACTATTTATGTACTGAATGGTTTTTGTTCTTATAAATTTGAACCAATTCCTTATGTATCTTAGCTATGAGACCTTTATCAGAGAAACTTGCGGCAAAGAATTTTTCCCCTAGCTGTTTCCTCTCTAATTTGAAGTGCATTGCTTGTGTGTATGAGTGTATGTGTGCTCACGCATATGAGTGCATCAGCTTTGTCTGACAGTATATGTCATATTCCACACCCATAGTCCTCCACCCGTGCAAGAGAGGGATAGAGGTGCATTTTCTCAACTCTTATGTTTGCTCTTAACAGCTAGATGAGGAAGAGGAGCGGAGGAAAAGGCGCCGGGAGAAGAACAAAGTAGCAGCAGCTCGATGCCGGAACAAAAAGAAAGAGAGGACAGAGTTTCTGCAAAGGGTGAGTGTAGTAGGCTAGTCAGAATGGGGCGCTCTTCTCCTTGAGAGCAAATAGGCAGATCTCCAGACTGGCAGAAATGTCCAAATATGGGCAAAACCAGGGCAATACCTACTTATATCTACTAAAGCTACCTTGTCCCCTTCTGATCCATACCCTCACTTGCTCCTCGTTTCCCATTTCCCACCTTCCTATTGCAAGAGGACTGAAATAATCCCCATAGCCATGGATCCCCGTGGAAGGCCATTGGAAAAGAAAGAAAAGTAGAAGTAATTTCATTTATTATAAACTCACTGTTCCTTAAAGTCATGGCCCAAGTCTGTTGTTATCTTTGTATCTCTCCCAGAAACTAGCCCAGACCATCTTGTGCAGTAAGTGCTTAATAAATATTTGTTGAATGAATGAATGAATGAATGTTTTTCTTCAGTGCCTGGGCTGATTGGCACATGCTACTTTGAGTGGTTGGCTTAGAGGTTAATACTATCCATGTTTGTGGTTGTTGAACTCCAGGTAATAAGGTCAAGATCATAGCTTCCAGAGGGGTATCTAGGGTGGGGTCAGTAGAGCTTTGCTCAAGAAGGAAATTTTAAAGGGTGCTAACAGTCTATTTATTGTTCAGTTGTTTCAATAGTGTCTGACTCATCGTGACCCCATTTGGGGTTTTCTTGGTAAAGATACTGGAGGGGTTTGCCATTTCCTTTTCTAGCTCATTTTACAGATGAGGAAACTTAGGCAAACATGGTTAAACAACTTGCCCAGGGTCATACAGCTAGTAAGTGCCTGAGGCTGGATTTGAACTAAGATCTTCCTGACTCTAGGCCCAGCACTGTATCCATTGTGCCACCTAACTGGCCCATACCAACATAGATACAATTTTGGGGGAGTCCAAACTTGGAATTTCATTGATGTAGAGAATTCCTACTATAGAAACTTGCTTCATCAATGCAGTCTTAGAGAGTTGCCTGACTTGCCCGTGTTCATGTGACTTCTGTGTGTCTGAGTCAGGACTTGAACCCAGGTCTTTTGAGTCCAATGTTGGTCCTCTATTCACTGTAGATAGCTGCTTCACAATATACAGTGCACATGCATGCATCAGAGTTACAAAGAGAGTGCAGTAAGGTCTGTAGGGGAGGATTGTTATCATTTGGTGGACCCGGGAAGGCTTTCTGAAGGAAGTTTCATTGGAGTTGGGTCTTAAAGGGTAGTAGTAATTGAATAGGGGAAGAGGGCATTCTGGACAAAAGGAATAATGTGAGCATATACATGGAGGTATGAGAGTGTGGAATAGATTCAGAGTTGGAGAGCACTCCAGTTTGGTTGAAATAGATTGCATGGGGGCAGTGAGGTGGTGCAGTGGCTAGAGCACTGACCCTGGAGTCAGGAGGACCTGAATTTAAATCTGGCTTCAGAGGCCTACTAGTTGTCCACTGGATGTACTAGCTGACTGGCAAGTCACTTAACACTGACTGCCAGAAAGAAAGGAAGAAAGAAAGAAAGAGAGAGAAAGAAAGAGATAGAAAGAAAAAGAGAAAGGAAGGAAAAGAGAAGGAAAGGAAGGAAGGAAGAAAGAGACAAAAAGAGAAAGAAAAAGAGAAAGGAAGAGAAAAAGGAAGGAAGGAAGAAAGAAAGGAAGACAGAAAGGAAGGGAGGAAGGAAGAGACTGCATGACAAGTAATAGGAGATAAAGTGTTGTCAGCTGGAGACTGGCCTTGAATGCCAAGTTAAGGAGTTGGAACTTTATTTAGAAGGGAATAGGGAGTAACTGAAGACTTCTGAGCTGTGAAGTGACCTGACCAGATATCTATATAAGAAAGATTGCTCTTGGGGCAGCTAGGTGGTGCAGTGGGTAGAGCACTGGCCCTGAAGTCAGGAGGACCTGAGTTCAAATCCGGCCTCAGACCAAACACTTGACACTTACTAGCTGTGTGACCCTGGGCAAGTCACTTAACCCCAACTGCCTAAGCAAAAAAAAAAAAGGAAAGAAAGATTGCTCTGACAGTTGTATAAAGGATGGATTGGAAGAGGAGAGAGAGTGGAGGCTGAAAAACTCGTTAGATGACTCTTGCAACAGGAAAGTGAGTGTCAGGGGGAGTGAGGAAGAGAGGACAGATGCCAGAGACAATCTGAGAGGTAAAGGAGGAAGAGGAGTCAAAGATACAAGGCTATAAACATGAGGGATGGGTGGAGGTGGGCACACTCATATACTGCTTTAAAGTTTGTAAGGTGCTTGAGATGTGTTATCTTCTTTAGCCCTCATACCCCACCCTGGGAGGCAGGTGCTATGATTATCCTCATTTTACAGATGAGGAAATGTATAGGTTAGGAGACATTAAGTGACTTGCCTTAGAGTCACATAGTCAATAAAGTCTGGGGCAGGATTTTGAATTCAGATCTTCCTGATTCCAAGTTCAATATTCTTTCCACTGTGTCACCTTGATAAGCTTAGAGAGAAGTGTAATGCTCAGATTTGAATATGTTGAGTTTAAGTGCCTTCAGTGGCAGATTATGTGGGATGAATGTGTGAATTAGGACCAGTGTTCAAATTTGCATGCTGAGGGATTCCAACTTGACCTTAAAGGGATGACTTCCTTGGGCTAGCTCTTGTACCTGCCATTTAACTAGTAAACCAACTTATAATATTCCAGATCTAGACTCTCTTCCCCTCCCTTACCCCATTTACTTCAGTCATTTTTTCTTTTCTTTTTTTCTTTCTTTCTTTTTTTTTTTTGGAGGAAATCAGGGTTAAGTGTCTGAGCTAGTAAGTGTCTGAGATTGGACTTGAACTCATGAAGATGAGTCTTCCTGATTCCCAGCCCAGAGCTCTATGAGCTCTTCTTAAACTGTGGGTTTCTGAATGGGCAAAGACCAAAAATTAATTAAAAATCAAACACGTAATGAATCCAAGGTGTTTCTGGTGGCATTTGCCCATGTTGCATCATGTAACTTCACTGCAGTGTTGGTTCTGAACACAAAACATGTGCACCTTGCACTGTGCATGCCCTCAGGCCATGAAACAGGAAAATAGAATGGAAAAGGGGGTCAGAAGTGGAAAAAAATTTGAGAAGCCCTGCTATCCACTGTGTCACCTAGCTGCCCCTCAGTCACCTTTTCTAACGCTGGGATCACTGACTTTCTTGAGGACCTTGCAGACTGTTGCCTATTCTCTTGCCCACAAGATAGATTTGATGTCTCCTTTGGAAATAATTTCGCTTGATTTAAATTTCTAATGCCTTGACTGGAATGAATATGCAATTATAGAAAAGAGCTGTGATTTCTTCTGCATGAGAAGTCCTGCTTTGGGAGCTCCCTCCATCAACACAAATCCTACCTTCTATAATCCTTCTTAGGAACTTGTCTGAGGCATTGAGGTTAAGGGACTTGTCTAGTGACTGCCTCATTAGATTGTGAGCTGCTTGAGGGCAGGCACTGTGTTTTACCTCTTTTTGTATCCCCAGCACTTAGCACAGAGCCCAGCACATAGTAAGATCTTAAAAAATGTTTAATGGTTGATTGATGAGGGGATCATAGTAAATTCTTGTTTGTAGAAATTATAGGGCAAGTACTATTTTTGTTATCTGCCTTTGGATTTCCCCAGTGCCATATATGTAATTTGCCTTAATAAATATTTGTTTGTTTTATATAAAATATTTTTTATTCTGAACTGAAATGACAAAAACATTTCTAAGCACACAGCAGAATACAAAAAGAGGATTCTCTATGAGCATGTGAATCTCCATTTCATTCCATTTGTGTTTTTTTAAGTATGTGATAAATTCTATGTATTACCTTCAAAACTGTTCTGCTTATCTGTGCTCCCTTCCAAATTTCCTTCTGTTCTCTTCTGTGCATTTAAAAATATTTCAGTAACCATCTTATTTTTGGCATCACCATTGCTTAATTGAAAAACAAAAGAAAGAACGAAAACCTTTGTAAAAAAAAAAATAAGCATAGCTGAGCAAAAGAAATCCAGACAACAACCATGTCCAGAAATATATGTCTCTTTCTGGACTTTGTGTCCATCACCTCTCTATCAGGAGACAGGTAACACGCTTCATCATAGGTCCTCTGGGGGACATGACTTGTAGGGTCACGGGTAAGATCTGAACTCTAATCCGTTATACTATATTCCCCCTACACAGACTGCATAACAGTCAAAAGTAGGTATTTTTCCTTTGGGGGGTTTGCAATGCTTTTTCTTTTTCTAAGTTTCTGAGGGCATGTTCTACAGGTTAACAGGAAGGAAACAAGCATTTATCAAGTGCCCAGCATGGGTCAGGCATGGTGCTAAGTGCTTGACAAAGATTGTTTCATTTGACCCTCAGAACTCTGAGAGGTAGAGAATGGCTTCACAGAATCATAGCATCTCAGTAGGGGAGGGACTCTTCAGTCAGCTAATCTAATCCCCGTATCCATGTCTTCCGGAAAGATGTCCCCCACTAGAATGTAAACTCCATCTGAGCAGAGATTGTTTTTGTTTCTCCAATGCCCTGGCAATATTAAATGTACTTTATTAAATATTTGTTCTTTCACTGATATCTCTGCCTGGGTGTTTGACCAGCACCTCAAACTCAGTACGTCCAAAAGCAAGCTCATCATCTTTCCTCAAAGGCTTCCACCCTGATTCCGGCTTCCCTATTTGGTTGGTGGGTCCGCTTTTCATCCTTCCTATTACCCAGAAATGACACCGTACTTTGATTCTGTGATTCTTTCCTTTGTCTCACCTCCTGTACCCAATCAACCAGTCGCATACCCAGTCAAGCTGGTTGGTTCTTCCTCTACAGCATTTCTTGAATTCATCACTTTCCCTTCATCACACTATACATACCTTAGGCTTTTTAGTTCCCACAGTCTGGCTGTCTCCTGTTATCTTACCCTTAGTTCTCATTATTTCCTTTACATTTTGGCCAAATTGGACTATGTTGTTGTTCAGTTGTTTTTCAGTCATGTCCAGTTCTTTGCGACCCCCTTTGGGGTTTTCTTGACAAAGATGCTGGAGTGGTTTG